GCGGGGACCCTGCCGGGGCGAGAGGAGAGAAAGTCAGAACGCGAGCGCCAGCTGGTGCCAAGAGCGGTGGGTTCGCCCCAGCGAGCGTGGGACTTTGTGTGTGTGTGGTGTGTGTGTGGGGCATAGGACTTTGTGTGTGTGTGTGGGGCATAGGACTTTGTGTGTGTGTGTGGGGCATAGGACTTTGTGTGTGTGTGTGGGGCATAGGACTTTGTGTGTGTGTGTGTGGTGTAGGACTGTGTGTGGGGGGCATAGGACTTTGTGTGTGTGTCGCCCCAGCGAGCGTGGGACTTTGTGTGTGTGTGGTGTGTGTGTGGGGCATAGGACTTTGTGTGTGTGTGTGTGTGTGGTGTAGGACTGTGTGTGGGGGGCATAGGACTTTGTGTGTGTATGTGTGGTGTAGGACTGTGTGTGTGGTGTGTGTGGGGGGCATAGGACTGTGTGTGTGTGTGTGTGTGTGTGTGTGGTGTAGGACTGTGTGTGGGGGGCATAGGACTTTGTGTGTGTATGTGTGGTGTAGGACTGTGTGTGTGGTGTGTGTGGGGGGCATAGGACTGTGTGTGTGTGTGTGTGTGTGTGTGTGGTGTAGGACTGTGTGTGGGGGGCATAGGACTTTGTGTGTGTATGTGTGGTGTAGGACTGTGTGTGTGGTGTGTGTGGGGGGCATAGGACTGTGTGTGTGTGTGTGTGTGTGTGTGTGGTGTAGGACTGTGTGTGGGGGGCATAGGACTTTGTGTGTGTATGTGTGGTGTAGGACTGTGTGTGTGGTGTGTGTGGGGGGCATAGGACTGTGTGTGTGTGTGTGTGTGTGTGTGTGGTGTAGGACTGTGTGTGGGGGGCATAGGACTTTGTGTGTGTATGTGTGGTGTAGGACTGTGTGTGTGGTGTGTGTGGGGGGCATAGGACTGTGTGTGTGTGTGTGTGTGTGTGTGGTGTAGGACTGTGTGTGTGGTGTGTGTGTGGGGCATAGGACTTTGTGTGTGTGTGTGTGTGTGTGGTGTAGGACTTTGTGTGTGTGTGTGGCATAGGACTTGGTGTGTGTGCGTGTCGTAGGACTTTGTGCATGTGCGTGTCGTAGGACTGTGTGTGTGTGTGTGTGTGTGTGCGCGCGGTGTAGGACTGTGTGTGTATGGCATAGGACTTTGTGGGGGGAGCGTAGGACTGTGTTGTGTGTGCATAGGACTGAGTGTGTGTGTGTGTGTGTGTGTGCGCGCACAAGACAGTCCACTGCCATGCCTTGATCTGACCTGTGGAATAAGATGTTAACAACCATGCAGCTTTTGCACAATAGATGGCAAAGGTGTCTCGGTATGCCAGTTAGGTTAGCATTGTTAGGTTATGCGGGTTAGGTTAGCATTGTTAACCCCCCCTCCTGCCGACTGGCTTGCAGACTTTCCAGAAGCAATGCAGTGACTTAGGCTCCTAAGTCTCCTTGCAGGCCGCTAATAAATAATCGCTCGCCTTACAGATTGAAAGGCAAAGGAGCGCTTTGGAAAAATAAAGCCCAGGTGGGATAAAACTCTGTGCAATTGTAGGTGTCGCCCGTGAGAGCAGTGGGAGAAGATTTCGGTCGCTCCTCCTTGCAATGAGCCAACCGTACGATGCTGAGGGTCATCCCCAATCAGTGGATGGAGCATCGTCCTCTCTTCGTGGAGACTACAGAGCACGAGTATCCCACTCCGAAGTCACTCCCAGATCCACCCATGACTGAGGGACCCTCGGCTCCAGCTGAGCCAGACCTGCTGTCCTCCAACCTCACCAACTCCACGGACTGCGGGGAGGAGATTCTGCTTTATGGAGACACTGAGAAAATTGTGATCGGGACGGTGCTCTCCATCATCACCTTGATGACCATCGCCGGCAACAGCTTGGTCATCATCTCTGTGTGCATTGTCAAGAAGCTGCGGCAGCCCTCCAACTACCTGGTGATTTCCTTGGCCGCTGCCGACCTCTCCGTGGCCTTTGCGGTCATGCCTTTCGTGATCATTACGGATCTGGTGGGAGGGGAGTGGCTGTTCGGGAAGGTGTTTTGCAACGTGTTCATTGCCATGGATGTTATGTGCTGCACCGCTTCCATCATGACATTGTGTGTCATCAGCGTCGACAGGTAAGGATGCCTTCGCACCTCGGTATTTTAGCATGCCAGCTGTGCTTGACTGAAGGGAGCTCAGCAAGTGTGGGAAATCTGTATCAAGGTGGGTACGTGTTGTTGCCTCCATCCTATAGCTGGGGAAACTGAGGCATAGAGAGGCTAAGTGGGTTGCTCCTGAGTAGTGGATTGGGAAAGGGATCATGTCCGCTGCTGCCAGGCACCTCCTGGGAGTGGAGGAAGCTCCCTAAAAGTGGAAGGAGAGGACCATTGCAGTGGTCCCTCTAATTTTTTCCACCCATGTGCAGAATAAATTGTGTTATGTGCACCCAGGCCTGTGCAGATGTGCACCAACAGTAGAAGCACAGGCTGTCCTCTGTGGGCACTCTGCTAATCAGCAGGGTGGCATTTGAATCTCTCCTGGGGGGGTCGCCCAAGCGCTGAGCTTACAGGGAACACCGGACCACTGGCACCTGGAGCATGGCCCTGCCTCCTGTAACATCACTTCTACTGAAGACTGGCCCTCCTTATGACAGGTAAAAAATTGGAGGAAAGCTCACGGACTTTCAAAAACAATGGCTCCCTTCCTGATTCCAGTGTCTCTGTCTCTTCCTCTGTCCAGCGAATAAGGAGTCACTTAGAATCATAGTCAAGCTTGTTCTTGAAAAATCTCCAGTGATGGAGATTCCACAACCCCTCTAGGCAATATATTCCAGTGTTTAACCATCCTGACAGGTAGGAAGCTTGTCCTAATGTTCAGTCTAAACATCCGTTGCTGCAATGTAAGCCCATTGATTCTTGTCCTATCCTCAGAAACCAGTGTGTGGTGTAGGACTGTGTGTGTTGTGTGTGGGGCATAGGACTTTGTGTGTGTTGTGTGTGTTGTGGGTGGGGCATAGGACTTTGTGTGTGTGTGTGTGTGTGTGGTGTAGGACTGTGTGTGTTGTGTGTGGGGCATAGGACTTTGTGTGTGTGTGTGTCGTAGGACTGTGTGTGTGTGTGTGTGTGTGTGCGCGCGGTGTAGGACTGTGTGTGTATGGCATAGGACTTTGTGGGGGGAGCGTAGGACTGTGTTGTGTGTGCATAGGACTGAGTGTGTGTGTGTGTGTGTGTGTGCGCGCACAAGACAGTCCACTGCCATGCCTTGATCTGACCTGTGGAATAAGATGTTAACAACCATGCAGCTTTTGCACAATAGATGGCAAAGGTGTCTCGGTATGCCAGTTAGGTTAGCATTGTTAGGTTATGCGGGTTAGGTTAGCATTGTTAACCCCCCCTCCTGCCGACTGGCTTGCAGACTTTCCAGAAGCAATGCAGTGACTTAGGCTCCTAAGTCTCCTTGCAGGCCGCTAATAAATAATCGCTCGCCTTACAGATTGAAAGGCAAAGGAGCGCTTTGGAAAAATAAAGCCCAGGTGGGATAAAACTCTGTGCAATTGTAGGTGTCGCCCGTGAGAGCAGTGGGAGAAGATTTCGGTCGCTCCTCCTTGCAATGAGCCAACCGTACGATGCTGAGGGTCATCCCCAATCAGTGGATGGAGCATCGTCCTCTCTTCGTGGAGACTACAGAGCACGAGTATCCCACTCCGAAGTCACTCCCAGATCCACCCATGACTGAGGGACCCTCGGCTCCAGCTGAGCCAGACCTGCTGTCCTCCAACCTCACCAACTCCACGGACTGCGGGGAGGAGATTCTGCTTTATGGAGACACTGAGAAAATTGTGATCGGGACGGTGCTCTCCATCATCACCTTGATGACCATCGCCGGCAACAGCTTGGTCATCATCTCTGTGTGCATTGTCAAGAAGCTGCGGCAGCCCTCCAACTACCTGGTGATTTCCTTGGCCGCTGCCGACCTCTCCGTGGCCTTTGCGGTCATGCCTTTCGTGATCATTACGGATCTGGTGGGAGGGGAGTGGCTGTTCGGGAAGGTGTTTTGCAACGTGTTCATTGCCATGGATGTTATGTGCTGCACCGCTTCCATCATGACATTGTGTGTCATCAGCGTCGACAGGTAAGGATGCCTTCGCACCTCGGTATTTTAGCATGCCAGCTGTGCTTGACTGAAGGGAGCTCAGCAAGTGTGGGAAATCTGTATCAAGGTGGGTACGTGTTGTTGCCTCCATCCTATAGCTGGGGAAACTGAGGCATAGAGAGGCTAAGTGGGTTGCTCCTGAGTAGTGGATTGGGAAAGGGATCATGTCCGCTGCTGCCAGGCACCTCCTGGGAGTGGAGGAAGCTCCCTAAAAGTGGAAGGAGAGGACCATTGCAGTGGTCCCTCTAATTTTTTCCACCCATGTGCAGAATAAATTGTGTTATGTGCACCCAGGCCTGTGCAGATGTGCACCAACAGTAGAAGCACAGGCTGTCCTCTGTGGGCACTCTGCTAATCAGCAGGGTGGCATTTGAATCTCTCCTGGGGGGGTCGCCCAAGCGCTGAGCTTACAGGGAACACCGGACCACTGGCACCTGGAGCATGGCCCTGCCTCCTGTAACATCACTTCTACTGAAGACTGGCCCTCCTTATGACAGGTAAAAAATTGGAGGAAAGCTCACGGACTTTCAAAAACAATGGCTCCCTTCCTGATTCCAGTGTCTCTGTCTCTTCCTCTGTCCAGCGAATAAGGAGTCACTTAGAATCATAGTCAAGCTTGTTCTTGAAAAATCTCCAGTGATGGAGATTCCACAACCCCTCTAGGCAATATATTCCAGTGTTTAACCATCCTGACAGGTAGGAAGCTTGTCCTAATGTTCAGTCTAAACATCCGTTGCTGCAATGTAAGCCCATTGATTCTTGTCCTATCCTCAGAAACCAGAGAGAACAATTTTTCTCCTTCCTCCTTGTTAACACCCTAATAGCTACTTGAAAACTGCTCTCATGCGCTTGTCAGTCTCTATAGCCTAGTCCAACCAAGTGTGGAACGGCATAAAAAAGCAGGAAGTTAATTGAAAAATCTAGATGCTGCATTTGGGTTGTTTTTTTTCCTTGGCACGGCAAGCAGCCCTTATATTTAAACCAGAATGATTAGAAAACCACTTTTCTAAATTGAAGTTTTCATTACTGGTAGTCTCAGCTTCAGTGTGTCACTGTTTCTTGTTTTGTTTTTTTGTGAGAGACACAATTAATTAGAGGAAATGCATTAAAATACAAAAGCCCCAATTGAAAGAAGAAAAAAATCTTTATCGGGTGTCTGAAAAAAATAAAGTACAATAGTGGGATACATGGATTTTTGCTTTTCAGTAAATTCATTATTGATGAGTATGGCGTTAAAACAGAGACAGCAAAAATGAAACAGAACTGCCTTTAAAACACACCCACACTTTCATTAAATAAAGTGGACAGACTTGAATTTGAGAAATGTGGGGTTTTTTAAAGCCACCGTTGTAAGGAGCAATAGAGACCAAGATGTGAAAGTGACAAAGAACAGACCTCTTACTAAAATTAACTGCAATCGAGTGCACCCATTAATTCTGCCCCTCTGGGCCAAGCTCTCCTGTGGCGTAAGTAGGCACAAATCCAGAGCAAGCAATGAATGTGTGGCATTTGGCCTACCCTCTTCCATCCCGGATAATGAGCAGACACTGGTTTTCAGGGAAACGCCTGTTACTCTGGCCAGAAAGCATTTACATCCCGAAAATACAACAGAGTCAAATCCTGAGAGGGGCAGCGTTCCTGCAACAGTCATTGATATCCACGGGGAACTAGTTGCTCAGGATGTGGGCTGTGGTGGTTGTAGATCAGATTGTGAGTTGCATCCGAGTGCTCGGCACAGCTCAGGTGTAGAGGGCGAAAGATGCTTCTCCTATCTGCAGGGTAAAATAGAGCAGCCTCAGGACGGCTCTAAATCACAGTGGTTGCCTACGGCAATGAGGAGCCATTCTGGCAGCTGGGGATTGCTGGTGCATGAGAGAACATGAGCTGTCTCTTTCTCCTAACCACTCCCTGCATAGATGGGGGAGAGTGGGAGGTTGGTGTATGAGCTACTGCAGCAGCTCCGCATTGCCAACATAACCGGGAACACGCATTACCTCTGCCACCAGTGATGTGAAGCTGTCGTAACACAGCATCAGGACCTGGGATCCATCCATTGAGAAACTTCTGGTGCCAAAATCAGTTGGTTGAAAACAACCAGCCCACCCCTTTCCCTCCCTCCCCTCTGCTCCCTCCACCAATGACTTACGGGCACAAAAATTCCTCCTCTGTTGCATCCGCTGCAAAAGTCAACAGCTGAGTCTCCCCGGGGTTGAGTGAAATGAATCACTCCACTGCCCTGATGGCTCTTTCCCACGTGCCAGATTGCGAGCTGGGTTAAGAACAAAAGAGCAGAAATAGTAGGGTGCTGGCTGGGAGGCCCAGAGAGAGGGGGATGTTATACAATGTGACCTCTGTGCTTTCAGTTAGTTCAGCTGGCAGACCAAGTAAAGACAGTGATAATCAGATGCTGCCGTTAAGCTCTCTCCCCCGAATGCTTAAATCAGATCTACCGTACCTTGTCGTGAACCCGTCTGGACCATTAAGTCGCTGCCTGTTCACGACCACACTCCCCACCCTGTCATTACTAATTTGTAAATCCCTTTGGAAAGATGGAGTGAAGATCAGCGGGGTAACTAACCAGGAAGCAATTCAAGGAACAACAGCACGCCCGGGATTTCAAGGATAGCTGGCGTGGGCTGCTCACCAGAGACTTACTTGTATTCCTGCAAACAAGCCCTCCAGAGATGTGGATAATAATAGGTGTGGGTCTTACCACCCAGAAGGCAGTGGGGTTTGTAATGAGAGCTATTTCATTGTATCCGTTAAATGCTATTTTAATGCATCAATGAACGTGGGAACAGTCACCCTGTGGGGGAGGAGGTCAAATGCACCTTCTCTCCTCTGATTGCTCCAATAACTGTTTCATCGCTCTGTTAGGTGCACCCCGAGCTCATCCTCTGCCCCCAAAGGCAGGAATTAGGTGGGGGAGGAAAATGTTGGTTGCTCTTCCAAGCTCTGCTTATGTGAGTCTCCAAAATGCAACGCTGCTCAACACAGTTATTCACAAGGTGATTGTGCATCTCCCTGCCCTCTCCCCCTTGGCGGTGGGCCTTCAATGTGCCTATGGGCTCTGCTAGGTTCCTTTGGCTTGGTTCTTCCTACATGGGGGCGCAGGGCAGGGGGAGAATATGTGGCGAAGTTTCCCAAACACTAGCCGCTGGTAACACCAATGGGAAACCTCTCTGACAGTGATAGAAATGTAGCCGTGTTAGTCTGGTGTAGCTGAAACAAAATACAGGACTATGTAGCACTTCCAGCCCTATGGTTTCTATTTCTAACCCACTCCCCACAGGAGAGTTAAGGGGTATTTAGTTCAGATTCAACTGTCTATTATACACAGCCTCTCTTCTTCAGTTCCAGTCCTGAATGCTGTGTTGCTGTGTCCTGTTAGTTAGCTGTCCCAGTCCTCCAAAGAGGTGGCTGCATTTCACTGATGATTGAAGAAAATACGAACAAAATACATACAGGACTTTCAGAGGCTTCCAGAGAGAAGGTGCTATAAAAAGGTAGAGTCCCCAGCTGACCCCGGGCTCTGCTTTGTGCTGCCAAGAGGCAGTTGTGAGTGTTCACAGTAAGCTGAGCATTTAGGGAACCACGTAGGAGAGATTCGTATGCCGCCCAGCAGATTAGCAGAGCAACCACAGCTGGCAACAGCTGGCAGCATATGTTTCTATTGGCGGGGCACACCCACACATGCCTGGGTGCACATAACAAAATTTATTCTACACTTGGCTGAAAAAAATTAGAGGGAACATTGTTGGCAGTATTGATTTCTAATGCGTACTTTAAAAAATTCTCTTGGGGTTAGCGGGCGGAAATTGCTGTTCTGAATGTTTTTTTAATGGAATGCATTTTATCAAAACAGACTTTTCTGCAGGAAATGTCTATCTTCGTGAGGGATTCCTCACAAAATCCAAGATTCTGAAAGTGGTTTGGTTGCCAAAAAATAAGAAGAGGCTTCTAAATAGCTTTCAAGCCTTCGTTAAATATTAAGTGATATTTTCTCTTCACTCTGACCCATGCATATCGTTTGGGGATCTTAGACACAAACCTGGGGGAAAGGTTACTTTTTTTCTTACCAAACCACTTTTTTTTGGGGGGGGGGGTCAAAAATTTCCACAGGAGTGGGGGAAGAAGCAGATTCTCCAGCCTGCTTTTCCTTTTGGGTTCCCCAGCTATTCTTGCTGAACTCTGACTTTGTTATACTGTAGCCAGGCCTCAGTCTCCACTAAGAGAGGGAGAAAAACCCTGAGAGATGACATCTCAAACAGCTGCTTCCTGGGATTCCCTCTTGCTTCTCCCCCCAGCGATCATGTCCCTCAGAGCTCAGAGTATTCCTAGCTCCAGCTGGGCCTCTCTAGTTAATAAATAAACCCAGAACATCTGTAGCAAATGGAATGGCAATCTGGCTATTTCCCGAAAATGGCCCAGAACGGCCTTGCTAATTTCAACTTGTCTCTGCATTTCCCAAGAAATACGCAGCCTAATAATGTTAGTAATTAAGATGGGATGGTTTTTCATGGCTTTGATTCCCAGGACAGTACCTGACCTTTTTAGAGTATTTTTACTAGGGCTGTCAAGCGATCCAAAAAAAAAATCATGATTAATCACGTGATTAAAAAAATTAATTGTGATTAATCGCATGATTAATCAACAATAATAAGACTCCAGCTGACCCCGGGCTCAGTGCAGCTCTGCCCCTTTGAAATGCTGTCATGGTGTTTCAAAGGGGCAGAGCCGTGGGAGCCCAGGATCAGCTGGAGTCCCCAGCTGACCCCGGGCTCCGTGCAGCGCTGCCCCTTTGAAACACCACCACAGTGTTTCAAAGGGGCAGTGCCAACCCTTGGCAGCATTTCAAAGGGGCAGCAGTGCACAGCTGATCCCGGGCTCTGCTGGGCACTGTACCTTTGAAATGCCTCGGCAGAGTTTCAAAGGGGCAGTGCCGTGGAAATGCCTATTATTAACGTGCATTAAAAAAA